CTCAGCTGATGGTTCAGAACCCATATGTGTAAAACTGCTAACCAGACCCCTGAGCCCGCAATGGATACTAGCAACCATTGCTGGGAGCAGGGAAAGCTCTCTCCCATAAGCCAGCTGAACTGCAGGGAAGAGCACCTCGATGGGTAGAGCGTCAGAAGGCTGGTGCGGGATGACGCACTTCTTCAACCAAAGAGCAAGGTAACCTGCTAATAGAGTCCGGGGCCCAATGGACTTCTGGGCACGGCGGAGAAAAGAGCGAAACTTGGTCCCCGCGGGAAAAGCTCCCTCAGCATTGGCGATGGTGTAAGATTGAGCCTCAGCCTTTTCCAGCAACTCATTAATCGCAGAAGGGGTCAATATGTCTTTCAATGCAAAACAGTTAAAATCAGTTCAAATAATTGAAATATCAGTCCAAAAGAAAACACTGTATTACTGCTAAAAAGGCAAGATCTTTTCACCGCCAAATTTAAAAATGGATGTGGGACTTGGGAGCATGCCGTTCCTGCTACAAAAGCTTTCATGTGGATTGCGTTAATTATATTTTTAAGCTTTTAATTTTGGGTTCAATAATGTTGTCAGCAAGCTAATAATACAAGAAGCTAATTACCATTCCATTAAACGAAAAGCTATAGACGTAGATCACGTCATTTCATGTGGATTCCAGTTCGCAATTTTCTTCGCCGCCGATGATGAACGCCGGGAAAGCTTCGTCGCCGATGTCGATGCCGTTGGAAAAATTTGGAGGGAACTAGAATCCCCCCCTCCCCCCCCCCCACAAAAAAAAACCAATTTCAAATCATCACAGTAATATCATGAAGAGAGAGAGAGAGAGAGAGAGAGAGAGTATTATGATCTTCACATGTTTTAAACTCTTGGGTTTTGTGTTTTGAGGGCTCAGGGAATTATGGTTTTATTTTTGGGGGTTTTGGGAGCGTTGAAAAAGTCTTGGCGGCGGGCGGAATGCTTGTAAGGAAGTTGGGGGCTAAAAGCAATTTTCCAAAAAAAAATTACCATACAAGACCTCAAGTTTAGTGAAAACATTGCCCACGGTATATTTGGGAGTTTACGAGGAGAAAGAAAGAAAACATAGACAGAAAAAGGGAAGGCAGAAGAGAAGTGGGGGAAATATATAATATGTGTTTGAAAGTTTAGTTAAAAAAAATGGTGGTGAACTTAAATTAATTTGTTTGGAAAGTTTAGTTAAGGAAAGGAAAGTGATTGAATCTTAACAATTGAACAATTGACATTATGATTAATGGTCAAAATGTTTCTATCATTGAGAAATTTCAGCTCCGTTCTCGTTCCATTCCTTACCAAACGAAAGTCTCTCCGCAATTAACTCTAGAAATTCCTCACTATCAATTTTGTATCAGTGCAAACAATGTCGCTTTCAATGCAAAACAGTTAAAATCAGTTCAAATAATTGAAATATCAGTCCAAAAGAAAACACTGCATTACTGCTAAAAAGGTAAGATATTTTCACCGCCAAATTTAAAAATGGATGTGGGACTTGGGAGCATGTCGTTCCTGCTACAAAAGCTTTCATGTGGATTGCGTTAATTATATTTTTAAGCTTTTAATTTTGGGTTCAATAATGTTGTCAGCAAGCTAATAATACAAGAAGCTAATTACCATTCCATTAAACGAAAAGCTATAGACGTAGATCACGTCATTTCATGTGGATTCCAGTTCGCAATTTTCTTCGCCGCCGATGATGAACGCCGGGAAAGCTTCGTCGCCGATGTCGATGCCGTTGGAAAAATTTGGAGGGAACTAGAATCCCCCCCTCCCTCCCCCCCACAAAAAAAAACCAATTTCAAATCATCACAGTAATATCATGAAGAGAGAGAGAGAGAGAGAGAGAGAGAGTATTATGATCTTCACATGTTTTAAACTCTTGGGTTTTGTGTTTTGAGGGCTCAGGGAATTATGGTTTTATTTTTGGGGGTTTTGGGAGCGTTGAAAAAGTCTTGGCGGCGGGCGGAATGCTTGTAAGGAAGTTGGGGGCTAAAAGCAATTTTCCAAAAAAAAATTACCATACAAGACCTCAAGTTTAGTGAAAACATTGCCCACGGTATATTTGGGAGTTTACGAGGAGAAAGAAAGAAAACATTGCCCACGGTATATTTGGGAGTTTACGAGGATAAAGAAAGAAAACATAGACAGAAAAAGGGAAGGCAGAAGAGAAGTGGGGGAAATATATAATATGTGTTTGAAAGTTTAGTTAAAAAAAATGGGGGGTAAATTAAATTAATTTTTTTGGAAAATTTTATTAAAGGAAAGGAAAGTGATTGAATCTTAACAATTGAACAATTGACATTATGATTAATGGTCAAAATGTTTCTATCATTGAGAAATTTCAGCTCCGTTCTCGTTCCATTCCTTACCAAACGAAAGTCTCTCCGCAATTAACTCTAGAAATTCCTCACTATCAATTTTGTATCAGTGCAAACAATGTCGCTTTCAATGCAAAACAGTTAAAATCAGTTCAAATAATTGAAATATCAGTCCAAAAGAAAACACTGTATTACTGCTAAAAAGGCAAGATCTTTTCACCGCCAAATTTAAAAATGGATGTGGGACTTGGGAGCATGTCGTTCCTGCTACAAAAGCTTTCATGTGGATTGCGTTAATTATATTTTTAAGCTTTTAATTTTGGGTTCAATAATGTTGTCAGCAAGCTAATAATACAAGAAGCTAATTACCATTCCATTAAACGAAAAGCTATAGACGTAGATCACGTCATTTCATGTGGATTCCAGTTCGCAATTTTCTTCGCCGGCGATGATGAACGCCAGGAAAGCTTCGTCGCCGATGTCGATGCCGTTGGAAAATTTTGGAGGGAACTAGAATCCCCCCTCCCTCCCCCCCACAAAAAAAAACCAATTTCAAATCATCACAGTAATATCATGAAGAGAGAGAGAGAGAGAGAGAGAGAGTATTATGATCTTCACATGTTTTAAACTCTTGGGTTTTGTGTTTTGAGGGCTCAGGGAATTATGGTTTTATTTTTGGGGGTTTTGGGAGCGTTGAAAAAGTCTTGGCGGCGGGCGGAATGCTTGTAAGGAAGTTGGGGGCTAAAAGCAATTTTCCAAAAAAAAATTACCATACAAGACCTCAAGTTTAGTGAAAACATTGCCCAAGGTATATTTGGGAGTTTACGAGGAGAAAGAAAGAAAACATTGACAGAAAAAGGGAAGGCAGAAGAGAAGTGGGGGAAATATATAATATGTGTTTGAAAGTTTAGTTAAAAAAAATGGTGGTGAACTTAAATTAATTTGTTTGGAAAGTTTAGTTAAGGAAAGGAAAGTGATTGAATCTTAACAATTGAACAATTGACATTATGATTAATGGTCAAAATGTTTCTATCATTGAGAAATTTCAGCTCCGTTCTCGTTCCATTCCTTACCAAACGAAAGTCTCTCCGCAATTAACTCTAGAAATTCCTCACTATCAATTTTGTATCAGTGCAAACAATGTCGCTTTCAATGCAAAACAGTTAAAATCAGTTCAAATAATTGAAATATCAGTCCAAAAGAAAACACTGTATTACTGCTAAAAAGGCAAGATCTTTTCACCGCCAAATTTAAAAATGGATGTGGGACTTGGGAGCATGCCGTTCCTGCTACAAAAGCTTTCATGTGGATTGCGTTAATTATATTTTTAAGCTTTTAATTTTGGGTTCAATAATGTTGTCAGCAAGCTAATAATACAAGAAGCTAATTACCATTCCATTAAACGAAAAGCTATAGACGTAGATCACGTCATTTCATGTGGATTCCAGTTCGCAATTTTCTTCGCCGCCGATGATGAACGCCGGGAAAGCTTCGTCGCCGATGTCGATGCCGTTGGAAAAATTTGGAGGGAACTAGAATCCCCCCCTCCCCCCCCCCCACAAAAAAAAACCAATTTCAAATCATCACAGTAATATCATGAAGAGAGAGAGAGAGAGAGAGAGAGAGAGTATTATGATCTTCACATGTTTTAAACTCTTGGGTTTTGTGTTTTGAGGGCTCAGGGAATTATGGTTTTATTTTTGGGGGTTTTGGGAGCGTTGAAAAAGTCTTGGCGGCGGGCGGAATGCTTGTAAGGAAGTTGGGGGCTAAAAGCAATTTTCCAAAAAAAAATTACCATACAAGACCTCAAGTTTAGTGAAAACATTGCCCACGGTATATTTGGGAGTTTACGAGGAGAAAGAAAGAAAACATAGACAGAAAAAGGGAAGGCAGAAGAGAAGTGGGGGAAATATATAATATGTGTTTGAAAGTTTAGTTAAAAAAAATGGTGGTGAACTTAAATTAATTTGTTTGGAAAGTTTAGTTAAGGAAAGGAAAGTGATTGAATCTTAACAATTGAACAATTGACATTATGATTAATGGTCAAAATGTTTCTATCATTGAGAAATTTCAGCTCCGTTCTCGTTCCATTCCTTACCAAACGAAAGTCTCTCCGCAATTAACTCTAGAAATTCCTCACTATCAATTTTGTATCAGTGTAAACAATGTCGCTTTCAATGCAAAACAGTTAAAATCAGTTCAAATAATTGAAATATCAGTCCAAAAGAAAACATTGTATTACTGCTAAAAAGGCAAGATCTTTTCACCGCCAAATTTAAAAATGGATGTGGGACTTGGGAGCATGCCGTTCCTGCTACAAAAGCTTTCATGTGGATTGCGTTAATTATATTTTTAAGCTTTTAATTTTGGGTTCAATAATGTTGTCAGCAAGCTAATAATACAAGAAGCTAATTACCATTCCATTAAACGAAAAGCTATAGACGTAGATCATGTCATTTCCGCAATTTGTACCGGACGGTTCGCAGCACCATTTCAATCGTCTGCTACTTTGAGAATCATTATTAATTTCTCTCAATCCTTAGATAGGAATAATGTAAATCGCATGTGCAACAGAATAAATTAAAATAAAAAATAGATCTCACATGTAAGCCAATAATTCTAACAGAATAAGTTAAAATAAAAATAACAAATACACCCAACCAAAAAAAAAAAATTTAAATGCATCATGTCATTTCTTTCTTCAAAACTGTTGTTCAGTACCTAAAGGCTTCCAGTAAGTCCGCGGATATCACGATTTACAAATGATAATACATTTCATAATACGATGTTGCAACCACCCTTCATTTCGCACCGCATAACGTTTGCGGTGTGCGTGTAACTACCTAAGTATTGATACAACAAAGTAAAAAATAAATAATCAAAAAGGAGAGGACAAGCTGACATCTTCCTTCTATATACAACACTATGCACAAACAAGGCCATGGAGTATATACCTCCTACAAAAAATCATACAGGCAGTGAATATTACAACAAGTATTCCACTAAATTTTGAATTTTAGCTGCTTGCACTGATTTTTACCAACTTGCACTGATTTTGGATGCTGATTATGTGAACACATGTTGCAATCTCCTTACTCCCCTCCCCTGTACGATTTCGTAAAGATGTCTACATTTTCCCCCCTTCCCTTTTGCAGATGACAGACCAATCTTTTCATAATAGGTTGTATGTCTTTTCAGCAAATCTTCAACCCACATGGAATCTGAGAGAAACATGGAAGTAACCATGTCGACTGAAAAGTGTGCAACTGCATTTTTGCCTGCGAGCCCAACAAAACTTCACCTGAGATTTGACGTGTTTTTGTTGGTTTATCATCATTCACCTTTGCCTTTCAAGAACAGCTCAATCTCCTCAAGAGAGAGGCCTTTGGTTTCCACTATGAAACACATGGCAAAAACTGCTGCTAAGAGAGAAATGCTGCCAAAGGCAGCATATACAGGTGCAACTCCGAAACTTTTTACCAATTCCAGGAAATATAAGCCCACCAGAAAGTTGCAAACCTGAAATGAGTCGGTACGCACATCATTGATATAATCTCTGATCTCAAATTAGGGTAACTTCACAAATTGATATAATCTCTGATCTCAAATTAGGGTAAGTTCACAAATTGATATAATCTCTGATCTCAAATTAGGGTAAGTTCACAAACCAATATAAACTTGTTTTATAAGAAAGAAAACTACTATGAAACTTCAAAACCTCAAAACGTACCCCAGACTATTGAAAATAGTTTGTCACAGCACACTGGCTTGGATAAAAAATCTTTAACTGTTATTGAAAGAGTAATATAGAAGACATTCGAAGTTCACAAAAATTGCATAAAACTTGTTGTGTGCTTTGCACCAAACAACTGCCATTGGGCATGGTTGTTTAGTGAATAGCATTCATGGTAGTTATGTGCAAAACGCTTCCAAAGTTCATGGTAAGTTTGTAAAATTTACCCTTTAAAAAAAGTATATGCATACACAAATACAACATAAATATCATCCATCTATATGACAAATCTGAAACATTTTCCAGTAGCTTACAGCGCGCCCCTTTGCATATTTGGGATTAGTAGTTTGTCCGAGCATGTAGGGGTTCTTTTCTATTCTACTAAAACAAATTATACAATCAAGGTTATTCTTAATTCTGAGGTACATGGGTTCTTCCGCCCTAGGAATAACTGAGAACTACAGATGTTTTTCAAACGTTATTTATAAGGCTATGATGCCCAAAGAAAATCGGATAAACACAAGTAATATATAGCAATAACAATAAAACCTCCTAAATGGTTAGGGTCAGCTTATGAATCATGTTCTTCCAGTTTACTTATATCACTTCCATCATCTTAGCCGCTATCATAACCTTTTTAATTGCTTCCAACTAACTCTCGGAAGCTTACCCTTAGTCCTAACACCATCAAATCTACTCTTTATCATTACATCAAGCAGTATACAAAATGGAAATAAAATACAGAGGAATAGGTATTTAAATCTATCAATAATTACGTCTTAGATGATGACCGGGGATAATTAACTTGCCACACAACCTGATGGGGACATCCGGACTCATACACGAGATTTTCGCCGAGTTTATCAGCGCAGGAGGCACAATATTTCAGCACTGTGGTTTTGAATTTTGATGTAATAATTAGTTTAAATTTTTGAATTTCAAATTTTCGAATTTCGAATTTTATTTGGTAGCTAATTAGTTAATTGGTTGTATTTTGGTTATGAGAGAGATTTGAGGGATTTAGAGGATTTTTCAAATCTGTATTTTTCTTTATTTAAACTCTCTTGTAATCAGATTGAAGATCATTGATGAATGAAATTAATTTGCTTAAACATGGTGTGAAACCTAAGCGTGATTAGTTTCTTTGTCATCAGCCGTAACTCCTCTTCCTCACAAAAGAAAACAAAAGAAAATCAAAATTCGCACTGTTCATCATCTTCTTCCTCCAGACAATCAGAACCCACCCCACCTCCCTCTTCCCAGTTCGCCGCCCGAAGCCCACCGGACCTCCGCCCTCCTCCTTCGACTCAACAAACCGCTGTCAACCTTGAACCCAAATCCCTTACCTTCAGCAACCGCCCAGCACCGCCCACCTCCGCCTCCGCCTCCTGTGGCCGTGACCGCTCCTCCCTTGCAACCGTGGCCCAACCCGACCACCCCCTCTTCCGTCGACACCACCCCTTGAAGCCCTAAACCGCCGCCCTTAGCCACTCCACAGTCACCGCCTTCCCCCCCTGTCATTCGTCCTCCCCCACCAGTCGCCACCGCTCAGGCCGCTGCCGACTTCACCCGCACCGTCGCCCGTTTGGCTCAATCATCGATCCGCGTCCTTCTTCTCTCCGTTGTAACGAACGAAGGGAAAGCTCTGGGCCTGACTTGATTTATTCAGAACCACCTCCTACTTATTTGTTGATTTATTGTGGTTCAGATCCGAACCGGACCAAGTTGGGTCAGATCTGTTTCAGTTGGGCTCGTTTGATTATCAGATCTGCTGAGACATCGTGATAGCCCGATTCTGTTGATCGTTGGTGTATGGCTGATCCTGATGCTGATGACGGAATCGTGCTAGATCCAGAGACCGGCATCGTAGATTTACAGCTTTCCCCGTGGTTTGATTATCAGTCATTCGAGAGCGTGCCCGAGTACGTTGAGCGCGTGACTCATCAGGTCGTTGACAGCATAGAGAGTAGCTTGGGAATCAGTTCGTGGCATCGGCGTTTCCATCCAGATACACCGCTTCATCCTAATTACGCCGCCCTCGGTGGAGAGCTTCCACCCCTCATATTTGGCGTCGTTGAGCCACCTCCAGAAGATCCTCCCGTTGATCCAGTTCAGTCCGACGAAGGTCTAATTTTCTTTCGCCCAAATATTTTCGGAACTGCTCTTGCTTGCATGTTGCTATCAATATTATTATCAATCGTATCTGTGCTGTATTCAGTTTGATTAAGTGAGCGAGCGAATCTGTTGCTAAGTACTTTTACTTATCTAAATATTACAATTTGAACTATATTGAGAGAACGAATCATTACATTTATTTTCTGGATCATTTACAAAGGTTTGAACTTAGTACATTGCAACTTTTGCTTAAAATCCATCGAAAGCTACACTTTATTCTTGAGCTTCCTACCTAGATCGATCGCTGATTTGGCGAAGCATTGCTGTTGTTAATCTTCATACCTGCATCACATTGTTTCGCATCACAACCAGTCTATTCGTGCTGTAAAGCCAGACTGGTTAAGTACTGTTGCCTGATTAGCTCGTTGAATATAATACACACCATATGTTGCACATAGTTGAAACAAATGCGTTATGGAATGCATTATAACCCGTTTTATAACCTAATGGGAGTAAATTGTTAGGAAACACAGTCAAAAAAAAAAAGAGAGAGGCAGGTTGCACTTAACGCAGGAAAAAAGCATTAAAACGCATTATTTTGGCATTACATTACGTTAAATTTAACCTTGTTAGTTTAATGGCCTCTTAGATTTGGACGCGTGAAAGTTTCTCCATCATCCAAATCACTTAATTAGGAGGGAGGGATTTTGGATTTTTCATTCACTAGCTCTGAAATACCCAAACACAAACCCTAACCTGGCTCCGCTCCTCCATCTCCCCCTCACTGGCGAGTCACGATGAGGCACCTCTTCTCCTTCAAACCCTATCCCCTCTCTCGCTCCCCCTCCCTCTCTCCCTTTCTCCGGTAACAAACACCAACCCTAGGTCCTTTGCGGCCTCACGAAGCTCTGATCCCTCACCTTCTCTTCCTTCTCTTATGCCCTTACACATCCAATACAAATTATGTAATGTTATTTATAATGTTAATAGATTTAATTGTTGCACATATAATTTGGGTATCATTTATATAATTGTTGTATATCCTTAGAAATTATTTTGTTAGATCATGCACTGTGATGGTCACTTGCTTGGAGATATGATCTAACTTAAAATTTTCTTGAATTTGTGCTTAACCTATAACTAGTAAATGATAATTTTGTTATAACAGGTTATTATGCATGACACCGATATGTGAGATGTGGTGGTGAGTCTCAACCACCGGGAATAGGGATTCTCCGGGTGCATGTCATAAGCATGCATTATGATGTGTGTAGCACTAGACCGTATTTAAATTTTCTAGGACGAGTCACCTAAGAGATAGAGAATTTAAATTGTTACATGGTCACTTTAACTTGATGATATTATCATTTTTGATTTGATAATTTAGTATGCTTTGATGTGATGGTTAAACTTATTTAGCAAGCGATACACAACCTGAAACGTTAGGTTGCTAAATTTCATTTAGGGAAATGATAGATATCTAGATAGGATCCAGTATGCTCATTATGTTTCCAACACCACCTTGCTGGAACTCCTCGGCTCCTCCACCCATAGGCTCCACCTCTCCGGTGACCACAAACTCAGCCAGAAGCTTCATCCGAGTCTGCATCTCCAATGACGAATACATAACTCTAATGAGGTAAATAACATTGTTATTATAAATTTTTATCAATTTTTCAGTTATTATGAAGTTAATTAGGCTTTATTTTCAGTTAATGTTGATTTTGATTATGAATGTTAATTAGGCACATGTATGACTAACTTTTGTTACGAAATTGTGATACTACATTTCTATCTATGATGTTATGTTTGAAAATTTTGACGTTTCTAATTATTAAACTCATTATGAATTATTTGTATTTATAAAAATATCTAAATAATTAATAAACAAAATAACCTACGTTATGTGTTACGTTTTTTGCGTTTTTTCTATAACGCGTAATAGGAGGTGAAGCTCTACGTTATGCTTTATCATATTCTCAACATTACTCGGAATAGTTTAGAAGCTGCATTTGATAACATATACAAACACCAACAATTTAAATAATAGAAAACATGAGCTACAATGAATTGAGTTTGATAACAGAAAATTCATATAGATTACATACCCAGTGTACCGAGAAGCTGAAACTCATGATTTCCGCACGTGTCTGTGAACTACTAAGCTCTGGTATAATTAGACCAGTAACTGGTCCAGCACCGATGGCAAATGTAAATATATACCTACATTGCAGGGAGAATATCACTAACTAACTTTAGGAAATTTCAAGAGGGAATAATATTTATAGGAGAGAATATTTCATATGATCATGTTTGTAAAATGATGATCCAATCTAGCGCATAATGGATCATGGATATAGAGTACAGAATGAAATGAGAAATTCAATGTTGAATCTTTCTGTCTGAGTTGAGAGAGGCATTTTGCGAAATGGATGCATTTTTTACCATTTATCAGGTTGACACTTTTTTAGTGACTAAAGACAGAAATTTACCCAGGGATACATAAATAAACAGAGAAATAGTGTGGTTCTGGCAACTTCACAAAACTTGTTTTCGCTGGTACAATCTTCTTCCAAAATCTTGTTTCTAGTTTGGCAAAAATTGGGTCAAAGTTCAACTAATTTTTTTCTAGTTCAAATTCTAGCCCTTAAACTAGTTCTTTTGTGGATCAAACCTTTCTGTGGACCAACTCTAGCCTTAGTTAAGAAAAAACTAGTTCCATTTTAAAGTTGCCAAACACACCCTTACCATATGGCATTAAAAAGAGAAATTACGAAGTAATCTCTGTTCTGCAATTTTAGATTATACATAAAATAATCTTGTCAGAAAATCGTGATTATGATCAACATGATATGAAGATGCTAATGCTGGTGACACAATCAATAGAAAACTAAGTAGACAAAAATACATGTTGCATTAATAGCTTGCACCCTGTGTTACCTAGGTACTTCTATCTGGAGAAACCGTACCCGTACTCGTACCCCAAACTTCTTGGACTCTTCTCGAATATATGTACACATTTGTTCAAGCTTATACTCAGTTATATACCACATGTTTTAATTTAAAAGACTCCTTATACATTTCTTAGATGTATAGTCTACACTTCACATCTATTTGTAATATATTGATCTTATGTAAACGAAAAAATAATATTGATCTTATGTAAATTATTAATTTTAATATATATAAATATACATAATATACATGTTTATAGCAGTATCCCCGTACCCTACTTTTTACAAATTTGTCGTGTCCCATACCCGTACTAGCACCGTACCCAAGCAACTTAGCTTGCACCTCATGATTTTTAGTCCTTTCATAAGTGACAAGATGTTTAATAAACAAATCTGCTTCATTGTGTACAATGTGACATGAGGAAGCATTTTCTACTAAAATATATGTGTAATCAACATATTCTTTACCAACAAGTGAACATTTATTTTACAAAAGTGCATAACACCACGTTCATGAACTAAGTTTTTCATGTGGAATAAGAATAAGAAAGTGAAAGCGACGTACGTGACAGTTCCAAGCACCGAAAGGACATGCCCTACCCCTTCATCAATAGGAGATATTATGGAATAAACTATGAGAAACATTGAGCATGCCTGCACAGAAAAAATACGTTTAATATCACTAGTTAGAGCACAGTTAACGCTGTCTAATAAGTTATGATTCATGATCATTGAACGGAAAATAAATGAGAACCACGCCCAAATGATTTAGTAAAACAATAATGATGGGTTGGCCTGACAGACAGTAAAATACTACTTATCCACCACTTTCGGAAAGCCTTAAATAAGTTTTAGAGGGAATCTACTAATGAAAAAGCAAATAAGGTTCAAAAGAGAGAACAGTTATTTATACAAGATTGTCAACCTAACATTCATACCTCATTGTCTACCTACCCAAATCAACATTACACCAAGTCATATCAAGTAACCTAACATTTAACAAAGTGCTGAAAATATCTTCTTCAATTTTAACAACTTTAATGAAGCCTTTTTTTATTACATAAATCATGAGATAAGCACATGTACACTTCTATAATGCTTTATTGAATAAGGTTTCCATATGGAGCATTTCTAGTGTAAACCTTGGAGGTAAAAGTATGCATGCTTCAACTAAACTCAATTATTTTTAGAAGGCGGTCTTCATATCCATAAGCCAACTATTCTATTCTCTTTTAACTTTCTGTAGTTATAGCAGAGAGGCCCAATAGGAAGGCCAAATGTAAAATGGAGAGGAAGGGAAAAGTATACACGGAAGGATACGAAAAATCGTAATGAATGTAGAATAAGCTCCTTCGATCTTAGGGCTACTTTCAGGTGTCCTATCTTTAGCTACTTGATGCATAGACAAGGACTTAAAATCCTCAGATTTTTGGGTACAGGCACTGAAAATGATGCAAATCAAATTGAATAGAGTGGCTCTTCAATCAGGTTTAGCAACAATGACAGCAGCATAAAAAATAACAATTGATAGTTGCAACGATTGAGCTTGTATGTATCTCACCATTCCCAGGTAGCTTCCCGTTAGCAGCCTTTTTCTTCCTTGTTTGTCCATCAGATACAAAGCAAAGAGAGCACCTAATATTAACAGTAATTATGAGATCTTCTCTCAAAATAAAAGCATATCAATCACAGAAATATCACAACCTGCAAAGTTTGTAATTCCAACCAATAAGCTTGCCAAAGCACCATCAGTAATGCCCACATCTTTAAAAGTCAAGGATGAGAAGTAAAGAACTCCATTTATTCCAGAAAACTGTTGAAGCACGAAAAGAGATCCTCCAATGCAGGCAACTGCCACCAGTAAAAACCCTTGTTTTTCAGTAAGTGCTAAAGCTAGTTTTGAAGTAGACATCACAGAAATTGAAACATATGAAGAAGAAGAAACCACACAAACGACATGTAGATGGCTTACTGATGATTAAGAATATCAGAACTTGAATAATTTACTGTCACAAACTGCATACTTAAATGAAGATACTATTTTATCTGTGGGTTAACTTCTTTCATGAGTCCGGAAGATTTAACAACGAATTAGTCAAACTCCTAGTCAAAATATCTACTTTGAATGCAAATGAAATTTGCCACTATAACCCATATCATTAGAAATTTTCTCATCTTTTTTTTCTTCAACATTTCCACTGACCAACATAAGTGAGAGTTCAATTAGCTATGAAAGCAATCACTGCATTTGGTATTTTAACTAAAACAAGGTAAGATAAAGAAAGAGTGAAAGAAATAGGTCACTAGTTAGCATAGCAAGATAACGTATAAAAACTAAGAACAGAGGTGCTTACCTAAATCCTACTGAATACAAGAGAAAACAAATTTATGCTAATTTAAATACTGACTGATATCCAAACAATATGAAATCATTTGGTAGTCAGAATCATTCTTTTACATAACAAATAGTAAAATTCACAGCTCAAAACTAAACATCTTCTGACCAAATCTTACTGAATAGCAGACAAAATTTATACTAATTTTAAATATTGATTGACATCCAAAAAATATGAAATCAAATGGTAGGCAGGATCATTCTTTTACATAAAGAATAGTGAAATTCCCAGTTCAAAACTACTCATCTTTTACCTTCTAGTAGATTCTTTTTTGGTACGTACGAAGTTTGAAGCTTGCTCCTTGGTGTCTTGTGACTCAAGGTGGTCTACGTAATGCATTGAGTGGCTAGACACTGCTGTATGCATCATCAAGGTCTATTCCTTCCCAGTTTTTTGAATTCCTCATCTCTCTTCATCTACTCTCTTATTTCCACTAGAGTTCTAGTCTCTCTATGTTAACCATCAAATTTACTGCCAAGTAGATGTGCAAGACATCTGGGAACTGACCATTACAATTTTTTTTGGGAGTTCTCTCCATAAATGGCAATGAGACGGATGAAATTGATACCTAAAAAATGTTCATGTATTAAATATTCCGCCTTCTATGAGACAGAAAAACACAGATCTATTGACATCCTTGTCTTACCACTAATCATGTAAGTGTACCTAACAAATGACAGTAATCAGCTAGAACCAATCAATGGCACCAAGATGAGATATACTGGAGTCATGGTACCTTGGTACTTCTATCGGAAGTCATACCCGTAGGGGACACGTATCTGGTACATGTATCCCTACTAAAACTTCTTGGACACCCATTGACAATATGCATACATTTATTCAGGCGCATACTCAATTGTATGATACATATTTTAATTTAAAACACTCTTCATGCACTGCTTTGACTTCTACACTTCCACATCTATTTCTTATATACTGATCTCATACACATGAAAAAATAATATTGATTTTATGTAAATTATTAGTTTTAATACTTATAAATTTACATGATATACATATATAGCCGTGTCCCCGTACCCAGGGGCGGATCTAAGTGTAAACATGGGGACAGTTGCACCTTTAGGAATTTGAAAATCACATTCTTGAGCGTTGAATATCTACACTTTGTCCCCCGTGATTTAAATATATTTGCACCCCAACCCTTACAAACTTGTATCCCAGTTGAATTTTAGCTCATATAAGTTAATTTAGCCCATTTGTTAAGAATATTGCCGTACAATATTATATTTAAGTTTAAAGAAGTTTCTTGGATCCACCACTACCCAGCTACCCATACCTTTTGCAAATTTGTGCGTGCCTTTTTTTTTTGTTTTATGCATTTTTCTTGTTTTTTTCCTCTGAGCTGCCTTGTGTGACACGTGCGATCGATAGATCTAATTGATGGGAATCATGGAAGTATTACAATGAGAACAAATTCAGAAAGGGAAAGAGCTGAAATTTATCTAAACCGTGAACTAGTTTTCCAGACTCCTATTATAGCTACCTTGGGTATAGACTTTGCAGGCTAGACTGTGTTATGCATTTTTATGGTCATTCAGACGTTCCAACTTCTGAGATTCAGGAAGAGTATCCCCTTGACTAGGTTCAATCTGTAGTATGAGTTCTCCCTGATGGAAGTACCTAACAGAAAAGTGATTTATCATACACATGTATTTAGGGGGTTCAGCTACTTTGCTGGCAAGAGGCAATCCACAATGCTTGCCAGAAAAAAATCATAAGCAGTATGATGAACACCAGTAAGTTCCCCAATTGGCGATGAGATAAAATTCATGGTTCCTTGCACAGAGAGACTTATGCAGAAAATCATCCTGTAGCAAAGTAGCAACTTCTGCAAATACGATGAAATTTATTTTCTATGCTCTACTGGCTTATTAGGAAATTTGGTAGGATGTCAACTGATATTACAACATATAAGAACAGAAGTAGCCAATGTATTCAAGGCATTTTTGCACGTCAAGCACATCAATTAGTTACCAAGTCAAATGATAAATGTCACATAACTTCTAGCGTGAGGAATAACCTTTATTATGAGGCTTCTTGAGGAGTTCAAGCCAACCCTGCCTGACCTGATTGTTATCATTTTTAATAACTGATTGAATTCCCTCAATAGAATTCTGAACATCAGAGGCACTCCAAAGACTGCCAATAACTCGTTTAGCATCATTTATTCTTCCTACCTACACAAATTAACCAGATTCTTTATTATGAAGCTCAGCTGAAGAAGAATTGGCATTGCTCCAATAATTATAGGCAACCTACCTTACAGAGCCACCGTGGACTCTCGACGGCAAATTGCATGCCCAGCATAACAATGAAAGCCGGGCAACTTGCGAAAAACAACATCATTCTCCACCTGTATCGAAAGAGATAAAACTTAAGAGATACAAATCAGAAAAGAGGAAGAAGAGGGGAGAAAAAGAAGAAGAACAGTTGACATGGTGTGGATGGGAGCAATAACATAGTGACATAGTATCTCCCCATCAAAATTGGAAATTTAATAAAGTAGGACATGAACAAAGAAATATAAGCCGACAAGCACAAGAAACTGAGACATACCAGAAACTTGACATGTAAAAAGGTTGTCGGTAATAATGTAACAAGATTAACTCTAAATAGTCAACCTTACCAGTTCTCGCCTACCAAAAATGAATTTTTCAGTAACTGGTCGTTCTTGTCAAAAGAAGTATATGCATGATAATAGCCATGTACAGGAATTCATGGTTAATTGCCATTCTTTTATAGTATGGACATGGAAACACCAGAAATACAAATAAGCATAAGAAAAGGTGTCATATTCTAACAAATTGAACAAAAAATGCTCATACATGAAACTTATTGCAAAAGTAATGTAATCCAAAGTTGCCATCATGTCATGCCATTGGCAAGAGGTCAAGCTTTGTGCCTTGGACACAGTAATATAGTCCATAGAGGGAGAAACTCATCAACCATTAAAATGGAAAGAAGATGAAGATATCAACGAGATGCTTGAAATGCAAAAGATAAAGAAAGCTCAGAGGAAGATTACAAGCATGAGAAAAAAGAGATGGGTAGAGTATCCTCCGAAAACAAACTTTTTTGTAGAATATCTGTACCAAGTACCAGCCATTGACTGAGGTTCTGAGCATGTAAAAACTTGCCACCCAAAACATTGAATCTATCAATGGGTTCTAGTGGTGTCATTACCAATGGGAAAACAAAGTAAGCAAGGTACAAGTGTAGGCCTAAGGAGATATATGTAGATATATGTAGATATTATAACTATGCAGACATAAGGAATTCAAAGGACACAAACTTTTCTGCAAACTCACACGCGGCTCAATGTTCAAGTTGAAATAAGCTCAATTAATCCACAACTAAGCTTGAAAAGTCAATGTGATCTTGAACCCTTCAAACAGTAACAAAGTCTGAACAAGGTTTGCTATTCATATTTAGCTAGCATTTAGCCTTCATAGGAATAATAGAGAAATTGGTATCAATAAGAGCAATATGTATATGAATGCACCATAGTTTCCTAAAATTTAATTAAATAAAGGGCTGGATGCTCAGTAACCAGAGAACCCTAGTCCAATGTCTCTGTCTCGTTAATCATGAAAAGCAAAAAAATGTGGTAAATCAAGACAGATGATTTGTCATCAACTCAGTTAAACTCAAAAACACTGTAGAATATAGATCACAATTCATTCGCATTATTCAAGCTGTCAAACAATGATAATTTAGTCAAAACGGAACATAGTCGATTTAATAAATTTAGTGGCTTGTTATAAGCACTGATTTAAATGAGCATTCAGATACAGTTTGCACTTGTTTTTAAGTTAAAGAAGGCTGAAGCTTAGGTAACATATACCATGAAGGAACAGGATGAACAGTGAGGGGACTCAAGTTCGATACCATATGGAAATGTGGAATTTAAACTATAGAAAATATTCAGAATCTGAACCAAACTGTATCTTGAAGACCATTGATTCGAGCTATGATATCAGTATGGCACTACAAATTGCTTATGCTAACATAAAAGTGTAGAACATATGAGAGTTTGATAGTATGAAAAAAAAATTGACAATCACCCAGATTTTACAAGGAAATAACCACAAACAGAACGTGAAGAGTGGGAGAAGCGAGTTTATTTATGTTAGCTATGAATCGTGGGCCCCACCACCCCACCCAAAAAAAAACGCCACCCAAAACACACGCATACAACCAAAATATATACGTAGTAGATATAACTAAAATGAGAACACCCAGATTTTAACAAGGAAATAACGCACAGCAGAATAAAGAGTTGTATAGGGAGTTTATTTATTCAAGCTATGAATCGTCACCCCCCCCCCCCCCAAAAAAAAAAAGAAAACACCAAAAACAAATGCGCGCGTGCACGCGCACACACAGAGTTTACAAGGAAATAACTGCAAACAGAATTTGAACAGTTGGAGAAGGGAGTTTATTTATGTTAGCAAAGAATCGTGCCCCCACCCCCACCCCCACACAAATAAAACACACACACACACACAGAGAGAGAGAGAGAACCAAACAATGTTTAGAACCAATGTTTAGGGGTTTTACTGTGAGTGGAGCATCAAACACTGATAGATGCATGGATTTTAAGGAAAATCTATTGCTGAAAAATGCCCATGTTTTGATATGAAGTGTATAATCAAGCCCAAATGAAAAATTGATGCACCAACAAAATCATCGGTACATAACTGTCTAAACATAGTTGCAGGCTATGGTACACGGAAGAAGGGCAATTCCATCAGGACAATAATTAACAGTAGTATTGGGTCTAGTTCATGATCTATTGTTATAATTACCCATAATGATGAACATAGAGGATGCCTCACCAGTGTGGATCATTTTCAGAAGGAAGTCCTAAAGAAAGGGATGTAATTATCCCTAAGCATGTCCCAATTTGACAGAGAGCTCCCAGAGAACCTCTGTATCTTGTCGGAGAAACCTACATCATGATATCTGGAAAATCAACAAATAAGAAGAAAAAATTATGGAAGCGAAGAATCTAACTCTTACTGCAGAAAGAAATAAGTGTTTTCACTTATTAATAAGACTAGAAGTTGTTGCCAAACTTATTAAATATTACTAGATTTTACAAACTAAGATCCAATTGGAGAAGTAAGATCTTAGTGTCCGCTAGATCAAACCATATGTTGTGAAGTCTATTCATTCCGACATAGGACGACTTTCTCTTGGAAATTACAAAAGAACAGTGAAGAAGAAAAGATGGCTTAATTTCTTTAAATATCAGATTTTGATTATAGTAGAAAATCTTCGGTATCTTTATCTATCAAAGACAAATTATGATTTAGTTTCAATTGATTTAAGAACCTTATAGAATTCTTAAAAAATTCTATAAGATTTCTTTTTTTTTAAGAATTGGTTTCCTACTGATTAAGTTTTTAAGTCCGTAAAAGATTAATTTTTCTTTGATAAATGTATGATAAAGATGTTATGAAAAATAGCTTTAGATTGTGTGATGCAACCTTGGGTGTGAAACCTAGTTTTTGAAGGGGAGACCTTAATTTATGTGAAGTTGTTGCCCTAGGCATGAGACCATTGATTCATGGAGGATGCTTCTCTCTTGATAGGGAGCTCTTAACTCCACTACAGAGGTTTTCTCAGATTGGTTCCTCCTTTGTTGTACCTTATGGGCAAGATGAAGCATTAGGCATATGCCGAACTCTTTGTGAAGCGGTTGTAAAACGAGCAGGTCAAGGTTAATATCATAGAAAATGCATGCAAGATAATACTTAGCGTAGCCAAATAAAAAAAATTAACATTACAAACAACTAAAAGTCCTTTCAAAGCTCCTTTTTATGATGCAACATTACCTCAGAAATATATATCGGAACAAGTACGGTGTTCACTCCAATGCCGAGACCAACAAGGAATCTTCCCAACAATATTTCATCCAAGGAATGAGCCTGAGCACTGTATGATTAGATGAATGGTAAAATTCTCATTGCATATGATAACTACAAGAGATAAACAATACATAAATAAATGCACTAAGAATAACAAAAGTTTGAAGAAAATGAACATCAAGCCTCTTCCAAATGCAAGTTGGATACATCATGTTATAGAAAGGAAACTTGCAAACTATAAAACATGCAAACAAGAACATAGTAGCAAGAAACCTTAAAAACGCTCCAACAATTAAGGGGACCATATCAATCTGGAGAGTGCGCCGACAACCAAGCCTATTGATGAGTGAGCCACAAGTCATACTACCAATAAATGCACCGACAATGAATATGCTCACCACAAGACCTTCAAGAAAAGGGTCTCCATCAAAACCAAGCTCCCGAGCTATAGCTTCTATGGGACCATTCATTACCCTACAAACCATCATTAAGTCAAAAAGGTCATGGTGATGATGTATAAGCAATGAAGAATCAAATGAGAAATAACTGTGAGGTCTTATCACTATTTGACAAAAATGAGGCAGCACAAATCAACATTCAAAAGTTTCCAAGTAAAAATCTTTGAAATTATACAACCAGCTATCAGGTATAGGGACCAAATATTTCAAGTTGGTGAAGATTCCTGGCTAAAAATTATTTGCACCATATGAATTCAACTACTTTCAGATGACAACTGTCACAATGTGGTCAGCAGCCTTTTAATTTCCCTACGATGCTAACTAATCCTTAGCTTAGCATGATTAAGGTCATTTGGGATGGTTCTGGATCATGACAATGCTCCTAGTGGGTGTCTGACAACCAGAAAATAAATGAAAGTTAAAAAGTGAAGTGACCATTTTTTTTTGGCAAATCTTGTTTAAATGACAAAAGTATAAATCTGGAAAATTGAGATGATGTCCACTTTCTTCAAAGTATGTTAACTATGTTTAGTTGCCATGAAACTGATCAGCGAAAAATAAATATTTCAAAGAGAAATGGTATTAAAAGACGGTTATTTGGCTATATACCCCTCCACCCCCAAAATCTTATATATTTTGCATATATACCCTCAATCTTCACAATTGCCAATCTAAAACCCCCCCCCGCCCCCAAACAAAAAAAATAAAAAAGCTCTTCTCCATAATTCCATTTTACCCCCTACAATTGTACATTGCCAGTATACCCAAAATATCCAGTTTGACCTCTCTATCTTCCACAGTGCCACAACACCGCTTCGTCTTTCCTCTTTTTTCCAATTGAAATTCGGGGGGGGGGGGGGTATTGGCAATTAGAATATTTGGGGGGTGAAAGTGTAATCTATGGAAGTTTTAAGGTGTACATAGCCAAATTACCCTAAAAGATAACAAAGGAAATCCTCTCTCTTGCATTGCAAATATTTAGAATTACTCTCCAACCATTTTACGATTGACAAAACATTTAAAAAAAGGTTCTTCTCACATTACACCCTAGATTCTATCTTAGTTTTTGTATTAGGACACCAAATCTTCATAGTTCGCAATCCCAAATCCACTAAGTTGTTCTAAACGACACCCTCATTTCAAACACGTGCGAAGATCCAGGGCTATAGTTCACAAGCACAGAGATTTGTAAACACCCTTATATATTTGCAATTTACACTCTCAATTAAGTTGTTCTGAACGAAACCCTCATTTCGAACAAACATGAAGATCCAGGGGTGTAGTTTACAAATACAAAGGTTTAGGGCCTAACATTAATAGAATTTTTGGTCTAATACGAGGAAAACCCGGATACAAACTCGGTGCCAGTATGTTTGTCCTCTTTCTCTTAACTTTCAGTTACCTTCGAACCATGGTAAACAGACAATGGAGGAGGAGAGCTCACCCGATATGGTACCCGAGAGGAATTAGCCATAGACGCGTGTGGACCACATGAGGAACGCGCGGCAGCCACCCCAAGTCCAGACCTCCTGATCCTTCTGCCGTCACAAAAACCTTCAGCAACAAATTTCAAGAAAACTTTTTTTTTTTTCGGGGGGGGGGGGGGGGGGGGGACCTGAGCTGTTGATTCGACGTCGATGATACGAGAGGAGGCTTGCTCAACGCGGCAGACCTGAGTCGTCGACGATAGAAACGAGTTGGGTTTGGCGAGGAGGTACGTGGATGGAATGTGCGAGGTTTGGGTATAGGATTTAAGGTTAGGGTTAGGGTTAGGGTTTCGAGAGCGGGAATCGCCATGGAGGAGAGGTTGAGGAGCGGAGCCGAGTGTGGAGGGGAGAGGTACGGAGCTTATGGACAATGGATGACGGGGGGGCCCACATGAAGGAGAACTCAGCTGGGAGATGGTGATGGGGGAGGTTCTAGTGGGGGAAAGGGAGGAAGATGACAGGCTTAGTCTTTCAATTTTCAATGTTTTGAGGGGTTTTCTAAGATATTTAGGCCCTTAAGTTCAATACTTGCATACTAGTCCCTCACATCTTGGAAATTGCAACTTAGTCCTCTAGATCTTCAATAATTGCTTGAGGCCCCCACATTTTAGAATTTGCATGTTAGTCCCTCAAATTCTATTGGGTCTGGCAAAATGGTCCCTCGGCTACTATTTCGGTTTAAAAAATCTGATCATGGTTGAGTTAACTCTTAACCCAAAATCTGCAATCACCAAACTACCCCTCACTCTGATGCTTCAACACATTGTGAAGCTCAAATTTGGGCTAGGGTTTTTCGCTAATCATTAGAGAAGAAGAACTCAAGTGAATTTGGATTTGTTTTAAACACGTATTGGGTTTAAACCAATTAAGAAATGTGTTGAGGAACATTTACCGAGGTAAATTAGACACACTGCCTCCAAACGTTAGATTCAGCTGAATATTTCTCCCAAACCTAACGTGATTTAACTTGACAGACGATTTTGCAAGAGCATATAGGATTTGATAGACTAATATGCAATGTCCAAGATTCAAGGGACTAAAATGCAATTATTGAAGATTTAGGGGACTAATACTAAAAAACCATATTTTGTATTTTCCCTTCGAATTATTGAAATTGATATTTGGTCCCTCAAATTGATTCATCTGGTTAGGGAATGTTGTTTCTCCCATGTGAGAATGTTGTTTCTCCCATGTGAGCGCTTTGTATTATTTTCAAGAGGGTACATTATTAAATTGAGTTGAGAATATAGACAATTAGATAATTAGACAGAAGGGGGGAAAGGCTAAATTTCAAACAATGCCCTTAGCTTTGGACAATTATCAAATAACAAACAATAAACTTTATAAAAAAAAATGAAACTCCCCCCCCCCCCCCCCACCCAACACCAACCACAACCAAAAAAAAACAAGTTTAGAGGTTACTGTGAAAGCTCACTTCAATTTTGAGATTTTTTTTCATAAAATACCAATTATTGGCGTTACGTGCGATTATTGCAATTTTCATTTGGCGTAGGTAAAATCTAAATAGTGGGGTATTTTTGCCCACAAAAATTGTGGCTATGCTTTTGCGCGGGCGGCAGGCGGTCAGGGGGGGACTTGAAAACATTGAAAGTTGAAGGGGATTTTCTGATAAACTTTAAACTTAAGGGGTTTTTGTGATATTTTGAAAGATGTAGGGGTTATCCAATACTCGTCCGAGGCCGGGGGTGTTTCTGAAATTTAGCTCACCATAAATCTCGCATTTATGACCAAAAGAGTATATCGGTTAGGAACCTTTCTTGTGTGCGTCTTAACGCACAGAACAGAATCACTGATTCAGCAAACATAATCTGCATGTCCGTTTCGTTAACGTTCCTCATATCCTTCTGATAATACCCTTTTGGTACACGTGAACCTAACTCGAGAGAGCGCAAATAATCAGCTGCCCTTGAGGCAACCTTTACCACCATGTTCTACACCTGTAGAAAAGAAACGAAACCTGGCATTTAATAGAAACCGAGTTTTATTTGCGTGATGAGAAACGATGAAAGAAGATGATCGTAAGATCTTCGGTTATCTCTCACATATTTTACTTGATGCGTACGCTTTTTCAGATACGTGTGCTTATACAGGAAGCCTCGCTATCCGAGGATGAATGCGTAAAATATTGTGAGCAGACTTCGCATCGCAAGAAGCAAATCCTTTTCTCAATCTCCGTTCCGAAACATTCTCCCTCTAAATCCTAGTTTCTTCGTCCTTGTCGTGTACTATACATAGATGTGCATTTACGTAGGAACGCGTTGTACTCAAGAACGGATATATGAATGCTTAACGCCATGGAGCAAGAGGTTGCGAGAAGTGAAGACTGTGTTTCTCACTCTCCGTTCTCCATGTGACTTGTTTCCAGCACATACTCCCTCATAAGCTTAGTGTTGGATTCATCAACCATCTGTCGATAGAAATTAAAGGAATTGAAATCATGACACAGGACAAAAAGATCTCTTAATGATATTTTACGTTATAGCAAGTGAGGATTAAGACATACCTTAAAGGCCAGTTTTTGCAGGTTATCCCACTCGAAATCTCTTTTGATGTATGCTGATCTCACCTGGAGAAATCAACTATACATTTAAAAATAAATAGAGCCGGATTACTATTTATTTTCCAATGACAACATTGACACTTACCTCCAGAATCCGCAGAGCTGCAATAATTAAGAAAAGATGTGTCAATATCACAACAGTTATGGTAATTAACTGATAATAAAATGTTTGATCCAATGGGAGTTCATAATTGATGCAGACAACATGCTCGCACACGGAAGCACACACGCTCACATCTATCCGAAATGAATCAACACAAGGAAAGGCTGACATATGCTTTTAAGGCATCTATATTTCAAATACCAAGAAAAACCGGAAGATAGTCAAGGCCTTCACAAGAATGTCTCCATTATTGAAGAAAAAAATCTGTCATTTCACTCTGCAGGTAGGGTACACTTGAATGAGAAGAGCAATGGAACTCCCTTTTATGTGGTTGATTTGGTTGTAGAAGTGAATCTACAAGAAACAGTTCCATAGACAACTGACATTTAAAGTATGTAGGATGGAGAAATCAAATTATTTTTCTTCAGTATTAGCAAATGACAGTTTTCCTAGAGTGACTGACTTAAAATTTTATATGATAGTGTATTATTGGTGACTAAATAGCTACCAGTTCCACCCACAAGTTTCTACATGATGAATGTTCGAAGCTTAAGATAGTTACTCCAAGTCAGAAATTAGAACTATATTCATCCTATTGGACCTTCTGTTATAATCAACTTGACAATATGGCATTTAGTCCGTAATCATCTAAACACAATTTACTTTACATCTTATCAACTAAACGCAATCAGAGTGAGATGATTAATTTTTTAACTACTTTACATTTGCAATAATTGTACAAATGAACTAACCGTACAGGTTGCCATCATATACAGTAAACACTGTTGCCTATGCCTTGTTTTCAACTTAAAAAGGGAAGGCGAAATGGGTGGAATGTTACCACTTAAAGAAGAGATAAATATGAAATCAATATATGAGTTAAATTAGTAGGATGGTGCCATATTTAGTATTGTTGATGCTGAAAAAAGAGGCATGTGATAAAGTTACTTTATCGAGAATTAGTAAAGGATTAATGAAAGCCCAAAAAAATCTCATAACCACTGAAGTTCCTTCGAGAGAAAGATGTAGATCAAGACTTCCAGGATTGAAGTATAAGAGGGATTAAGGACTAATTAAGAAAAATTTATGCTAACAGTCAACAATTACATGGAAAAAAAAATTGTGTTCCCTATACACATTCGGCAAAAAATATTTCGGGTCTATGCCATCATTTAACAATGCTCCATAAATGAATTAATGAAGATAAAAGGGCTTACTATGGCATAAATGTCTCATATACATCATTTTATGCCTTTACACTCAAAATCCCTATTATCCTCAAAATTTTGGACAGAAGCTATGCCTAGACGCACTATTGCTTGTACCCAAATTCTTATACCACAAGGTTCTACCATCTCAAGTTACAAGCATTTTCAATCTCATGAATTCATATGCAAAATCATAGTAGTAATTCCAGTGCAAATCTTCAGATTTCTTACCCAACCCTCTATGCCTTGGGGACTCCCTCATGAGCCCAGAGCAGAACTTGTCGCCATCATTGAGAGAGTTCTTACTCACAAAGTCCATCAACTCCTCATACCCCTCAGGGTTATAACTCTGTTCAATTCAATTTAAGAGGTGAATTTCTCTTTTTTCTAACTAATAGAAACGAGGGTAGATTACAAAAACTCCCTCTAATATTTGCAAGATTCAAAAAATGTCAAAGGTATCAAAAGCAACAGTATTCCATTTTCGTTTCAACTTCTACAAAATTAAATTGGATGTAAACTCTTATTATAGGATGTCACAAGTTTATTTACTCTGGTATAGACATGAATATGACTGCTATGTCAAAATTTGATGATTACATAAAAAGGATAGATGATTATTTGAAGACAAATTGAAAATAATAGAGCATGAGTACTATAAGAGCTTCTCCAATCGTCCCCTATAACTGCATTTTGCAGCCCATCTCAAATCCAACCGAGCAACATATTATGCGGGTGAGTTGCAAAATTGGATTTGAGGCTGCAAATTTGGAGATTTCTCTCCAAATTTGCAGCCAACTCTATATTACTATTCCCAAAAAAAAGACAACGTTAACCCTCAATCTCCTTAACAACATTTAATTATTCCAATTGTGTCCCCTTTTTTTGTTGCTTACTTAAAATCTATGTATATATATTAATATATTAAATATTTTTAATGAAAATAATATCATTAGAAATGTCTCGTCGATACCTTCAAAATGAGACTAATATCGAAATATAAAATTGCAAAACAAATAATTAGAAATGATAATACATTGAAAATTAAACGGAAATAAAATACATTAACTTAGAATTACATCGAAACTTTAATAAAAAAAGTTACATCAATTCATTACCATGTCTCTCCCACAAATGTTCAATTAATGCATTTCAAAGTGCGAAGTGTGCTTCTTTGTCTTTGAATTTCTTATGTCGGGCCAGGAATTGTCGGAACCGTTCGACATCATTCATCCCTATGTCTTCAATATTTGAAATTAATGGTGGAGTGGAAACGACAATATCTTCTTGCTCATCACGTTCATCCTCAATAATCATGTTGTACATTATTATGCAAGTGGTCATGATATTATGCAAAGTTCGTTTATCCCAAAAACATACAGGGCCCTTGATTATAACAAATCTTGACTGAAGAACACCAAATGCTCGCTCCACATCTTTTCAACAAGCTTCTTGCATCATTACAAAATATTGTTTCTTTTTGTCTTCGGATTTGGAAATGGTTTGAACAAGCGTTGGCCATTTCAGATATATGCCATCGGCTAAATAATAACCGACATCATAATTCTTTCCTTTAATTGTATAACGAGTAGGAGGAGTAATACCTTGTGTTAGGTTTTCAAACAAATTAGATGCTTGTATACATTAATATCGTTATTAGAACCTGGCAAGCCAAAGAATGCATGTCATATCCATAGGTCATATGATGCAACTGCCTCAAGAATAATGGTTGGGTCTTCGTGACGTCCTGAATATTGTCCCACCCATGCTGTTGGACAGTTTTTCCATTTCCAATGCATACAGTCTAGACTTGCCAACATTCCTGGAAAACCTCGCTCTTCGCCTTTTTGTAACAATCTTGCAACATCGTCGGTATTGGGGGATCTAAGATATTCATCTTCATACATTTCTACAATTGCTCTGCAAAATCTCTTCAAACATTCAATTACAGTTGACTCACCAATCCTTACATATTCGTCAGTACTATCTGCTGGTGCACCATACGCCAACGCGAAATGTTGCTATTACTTTTTGTAAAGTAGACAGTCCAAGCCGGCCGACACCATCCATCTTTTGTACGAAATAGTTGTCGTGCTCTCGTACAACGTCGACGATACAAAGGAAAAGACTTCTTTGCGTTCGGAATCTTCTACGAAATAAATTTGCACCGTATGTGGGATTATCAGAAAAATAGTCATTATAGAGTCGAGAATTACCTTCTTCCCTCCCACGGTTGATCACCAAATGACCAGGAAATGAGCCGATACGCTTTGGCTTCTCTTCCTCTTTAGAGAAATAAGCCATTATTTCATTGTTAGAGGCATATAGACGAGCTAAGGTTTCATCCTCCTCCCATTGTTTCATATCCTCCTCCCATTGTTCAACGTAATGAGAAATGTTTCGTCATCAGAAAAAGAAGGTAGGTGTGATGGTCCAGCTCTATAGTTCATTGTTGAAGATGAGATTTAGAGAAATGAAATATAGTTTGGTGATGAGTTGTTAATAGGTGTATGTTGTGTTATTATATAATGTTTCTACCCACATTGGATTCTCCCACCTGCATCGTTTTCTATCCACATTGGATTCTTTCCCCCATCGTTTTCTACCCACATTGAATTCTCCCACTGGCGTTGGTTTTCTACTCACATTGGATTCTTTCCTGCATTATTTTCTACCCACATTGGATTCTTTCACCCGCATCGTTTTTTACCCACATTAGATTCTCCCACTGGCATTGGTTTTCTACCCACATTGGATTCTTTCTCGCATTATTTTCTACCCACATTAGATTCTTCCACCCGTATCGTTTTCTACCCACATTGGATTCTCCCACTGGCGTTGGTTTTCTACCCATATTAGATTCTTTCCCGTATTATTTTCTACCCACATTGGATTCTCTCACCCGCATTGTTTTCTACCCACATTGAATTCTTTCCCGCATTATTTTCTACACACATTTGATTCTCCTACCCGCATCGTTTTCTACCCACATTGGATTCTCCCACTGACGTTGGTTTTCTATCCACATTGGATTCTTTCCCGTATCGTTTTCTACCCATATTGGATTCTCCCACACGCATTGTTTTCTACCCATATTGGATTCTCTCACCCGCATTGTTTTCTACCCACATTGGATTCTTTCACTAGCATTGGATTCTCCACAATTTTTTCACTATAAATACTAGCACAACCATCATTCCTCCTTCACAACTCTTCTCATTCCTCCTCCATAACTCATCTCAACAACTCTTCGACCTTCTCTTATGACATCCAGTCGCCAAAAATCATTCTTACAAGAAGAAGATCAAATTTTATGCGCTACATGGCTTGAAATATCTCAAGATCCAATTTTAGGTTCCAATCAAAAGAAAGACAAGCTATGAGAGCGAATTTCAGCTCTATTTCACGAAAGGATTTCCAACGTTTGCACCGGACATAGGAGTCTGAAGTCTCTCTCATGCCGAATGCAATTAATTATGAAAGCCATCAGTAAATTTTGAAGATGCATTCGACAAGTCGAGCGCCTCAATCCAAGCGGTGCTTCTGAACTTGATATTGTAAGTATATGAATTACATGTTTCTTGGTTATTAAATTATTTTTCACCTTTTCTAATAATTATTTCTTCTTTTGTGGTAGAATAAACGTGCTAGGATCATATTTGCAGAAGATCCAGAAGAGAAAAGAGGATTTCTATTTGATCATGTTTGGCCGATTTTGAAGGATGCAGAGAAGTGGGCAAATATAAGTGTCATGCCTTCTGCATCTTCTAAAACTGCAAAGGCTCGCTTATCTCAAGGATCTGATTCAAGCTCTCCTATCATCGACTTAAATGAAGACAATCAGACATATACTCTTAATGACGACGACCATTTGCCAATCGACATTTCAACTAGTCGATTTATTGGAAGGAAGAAAGAGAAGTTGAGAAGAAGGAAAGAAATTGAAAGGAACCTTAACTTTGAAGCTTTTGTTAAAGGAAACCAAGAAATCTTAGAAGTTTTAAAAAGAGGTCAAGAATAACGAGAAAATGAAAGAATGGCGATGAACCAGACTATAATGTTAAAAGCTGAAAATGATAAGAAAAAGTTAGATCTTCAGCAAGAACGACAAGAGAAAGAAATTATGCTAGTTGATCTGGGAAAATGATAAGAAAAAGTTAGATCTTCAGCAAGAACGACAAGAGAAAGAAATTATGCTAGTTGATCTGGAAGCTATTACCGATCCAACAAAATCAGCAAGAACGACAAGAGAAAGAAATTATGCTAGTTGATCTGGAAGCTATTACCGATCCAACAAAACGCAAATATTTTTCGAATTAAATAACAATAGATTTTAAATAGAAATATAACTAGGGGTTCCTCGTCTGATACTCCTAATCCTGAATACAGCTACGCAGGAAGTCAATACGGAATACCTGACTACATAGGAGGTGGATACGGAGGAGTTGACTTTCCAGACTTTTAGTATTTTTCATGTATTATGTTTTTCCTATTTGTCATGTAATTTGTCATGTACTTTTCAATTCATGCTTTTGTTTTATATGTAATAGTCATGGATTTAGTATTATCAATGTCTTTTTATTTAAATCTGAATGCCTATTTTATATTAATACATTTAATAATATTATTTATATTATATAATTTTTATTTTTTTTATTATTTTTATATATTCAAAATGAGACTAATATTAAATAATATTAATTGAAATATAAAATTCCAAGAACCAAGTAATTAAAAATGAAAATGTATTATAATTTAAAGACAATTATCTATTTCTTATTATCAATTCATTAAAGATAATTAATTTTATTTAAATATATGATTACATTATATATTATTATTTTTATATATTTTTATAATAAGTAAATAATTGTTAAATTGAGAGAAATTGAAATGGAGTTGGAAATAAAAGAGTGTGGTTGGAGTTACATAACTCTATTTTGGCATATTCTAAGGAATATGCCAAAGTGGGTGTTGTGCTGCCGAAGTGCTGCCGAAGTGCTGTCGAAATTTTCGCTGCGCGCAACAAGTGGTATCAGAGCCCAGATTTCAGATCTAGGGTTTTTTGGTGGAGGAAGATTTTTGTGTGAAGCTTAGTTCTTGGAGTTCTCGGCTTCGGTGGAGATAGCATTAGGAGTTGCCGTTGGAGATTTTGCTTTCCTCGTGTGGATAGGAGATCTATTTGGAATCCGATCTAGGGTTCAGTTGGGTGGTTCCTAATTCTATCAAATTTGTTCTTTCTCTATAATTTAGAGTTAGTTCGCAATGGGAGAAGAAGGTGAAAGCAGCAAATCGATGGCGGGTATAATACAAGTTGGTTTTCAGAACACTAAAATTAGTGTGGTGAAATATGACGGCAAAATCAACTTTGGTTTGTGGATGAGCGACGTACAGGATGCGCTCAATGCTCAGAATTTGGAAGAGACCATCATGGTCCACGAAAGGCCACCTAAATATGAAGATACGGTATGGGAGAAAATGAATAGGAACGCTTGTGGGGTGATCAGGTCCTGTTTGAAACATGAACTGAAATATGATGTGATTGGGGTGACGTCTGCAATGAAGATGTGGGAAATTCTTAACAATAAGTATCTCACAAAGAGTGTTGAGAACAGGTTGCACTTGCTGCGAAGACTCTTCAGATTTCAGATGTCCAGAGGCACCTCGCTAGCGGCTCATGTGAACAACTATACGAAGTTGTTGTCGGACTTGGCGAATGTTGATGAGAAGATATCGGATGAGTACAAGGCGATTATTTTGTTGGGCTCCTTACCGGATGAGGAGTATGATACCTTCGTGCTCACTTTGTTGAACGGGAGATCTTCTATCAGCTATAGTGAAGTGACTAACGCTTTGACGAACTACGATTTGAGGAGGAAGGATAAGGAGACTTCCCGCGCTAGTACTTCAGGAGAGGCCTTGTCGACGAGAGGTAGAAGCCCATATCCGAAAGGTGGTAATAGAGGAAGGTCAAAGTCTAGAGGCCGCCACCAATTAACAAAGAACCAATGTGCATTCTGCAAGGAGCAGGGACATTGGAAGAGAGACTGCCCGAAGCTCAAGGAGAAAGAGAATGGCAAGAAAAAGGGCCCGAAGGCCAATGAGGTGAATATTGCGAAAGGCGATGATTCCGATGATTCGTGCTTTTCTCTACTGATTACTCCGGAGGTGAACCATGTGGATGCATCAGATTGGATGCTTGATTCCGGCGCTACCTTTCATGTGACCCCTAGGCGAGACTGGTTTGCATTTTTTGAGAAAGTCGACGGGGGCGTTGTCGTCATGGGAAATGATCAATCCTGTGGCGTTTGTGGGATAGGTATCGTGTGGATTAGGATGCACGATGGAGTAGTCCGTGAGTTGAAGGAGGTAAGATTTGTTCCTCAACTGAAGAAAAATCATATCTCAGTTGGAGCTTTGGAGGCGAAGGGATTCAAGGTGACTTTCGAAAATGCTGTAGCGAAGGTTACTAAGGGATCATTGGTGGTGATGAGGGGAGTCCGCAATCGGAATTTGTATTATCTGAAGGGAAGCACCGAGATTGGCCAGGTTGCTTCGGCTATTTCAGAAGCGGACATGAGCAGACTTTGGCACTATAGGTTGGGGCACACAGGTGAAAAGTCACTGCAGGCATTGTGCAAGCAGGGGCTATTGAAGGGAGCCAAGAGTGGGAAGATTGAGTTCTGTGAGCACTGTGTTCTTGGCAAGAAGACGAAGGTGAAGTTCGGGACTGCCATTCATCAGACGAAGGGCATCCTGGATTACGTGCACACAGACGTTTGGGGTCCCACCAAGACTGCATCACTTGGTGGTAGACATTGGTTCGTCACTTTTGTAGATGACTATTCTAGGCGTTGTTGGGTGTACACCATGACGAAATTTCCGCTGCGCGCAACAGTGGGGACTGCAAAATGCAGTCCCCGGTTGGAGAAGCTCTAAGAATGATAATTAACTTGGATGTGAACTGTGATCATAGAATATGGCAATATATAAATTGGTAAACTGCAGATGAACCCCCTCGCCTATACCTTTGGCATTACTCGTCATCCCTCAACTATTTTATCAGCACTTAGCATCCCAGAATTGGTATTTTAAGAATAATTAACAACTTGCAAACTCGCCTCTTCCTCATGAATCGAGGGATGATGCGTGCTACTGAGGGGAGTTATCTGCAATTTACACTATTAATTTGGAGCATTTATATGGCTATTGTATTAAAAATCTGATGGTTCTCGCTAAAAATCAATATTTGATGATTATTCTATTGTAAGTCAAAAAATAAAAGGCTAAAATTTCACTTTTAAAATCTCAGGAGTTTTTCTGTATTTCCAGTACTAAAGACAATGGTGATTTATTTGTTTATTTACTTTTTTTTGTGCAAATTACTCTAAAATTGAAGCAAAATGTCAAGTGCGAGCCAACCTCGAGCTGAGCAAGAACGATCTTGACGGCAACATAGGTGAAGAAATCCTGCATGTTTTTCGCAGCCTTCGACTCCGGCGACGCCTCTCCGAACCCTAAACCCCCAAATAACCCAACATTATCATGAATTTCAAAGTCGGTCACAATGAAATCTTTGATAAATTTACCTGGGACGAACATCTTCTGGCACCGAGGGGGGTCGACGAGGAGGCCGACGAGCGCGCGCGGGTCTTTGCCGGCAGAGGAGCGAGCTGCCGCGAAAATGGCCGGGAACGGCCCGATGGATTCGCGATGGGAATAGAAACAAGCACTCCATAGCAACAGAAGGGAAGGGCTTCAGCCCGTTCGCTAACGGCCACTCCTTCAAAATATCTTGTTCTTATATATAAACGAATTTGGGTTTTTTAGCTATTAGTCCCTTATATTTTCAGTAACTGCATATTAGTCCCTCAAATCCTATGGGGTCTTGCAAAATAGTCTCTCCTTTAACATTTCAGTTAAAAAACTTGACCATGACTAGGGTAACTTCTAACCCAATATCTGTAATTACCAAACTACCCCCTTTTTGGTAGCCATTGGGGAAGAAGAACTGAAGTGGTTTTGGGTTTTTTTTGAAAGGCTAAATGGCACTTAAATACCTTATAGTTTTACTCTCTTAGCACTTATATACCCTTAGTTGTATTTTGTGATATTTATATACCCTGAGCTGGTTAAAATTGGCATGCTAATACCCTATGTTTTGCAAACGCAAAACTTTTTATTCAAAAGTTCATATATCTATTCCTTTATACAAAAGGGAAAACCAGAGAGTCACTGTTCATGCTACAGTAAACGCTACAGTAGATTTGCTGTAGCATTATTACTGTAGCTGATAAATAGTTAAAAATATTACCGTAGCACATGTGTATACTGTAGCATTTCAAAATGGTACTGTAGCAGGCGGGATACTGTAGCATTCCCAGAAAATTCAAATCAGGCATGTTAAAAAAGAGGGATTACTGTAGCAAAAAAAACCCGTGCTTTGCACGGACAGCAGACTAGTAATATTTATATGCTAATCTTATAACTTTCTCTCTAATAAATTTGTTGAATGTATAGTTAAATCTTCTAAATTCTATTTTTGAAATACAATTATGACACATTTAAATTAGGTTTTAGGTAGGTTTAATAGTAATTTAAAATATAAATAGTTAAAAAGCTCTAAAATTAGCATATGAATATCATATGAAAACTTCCGAATGAAAATTTTTATATTTGTAAAATATAGGGTATTAACTTACAAATTTTGACCAACTAAGTATATATAATCGCTACAAACTGAGGGTATATATAAATGCTAAAGGAGTGAAACTATAAGGTATTTAAATGATGTTTAGCCTTTTTTAAATTAGTATTGTGTATAAACCCGTAAAAATGGATTAGGGACATAATAGAGGGGTAAAATAGACATTATGCCCCCAACTGTTAGATTCTATAGAGTATTCCCCTTAACTTTAACGTGATTTAACTTGAAGGACCATTTTACAATACCCCGTAGGATTTGAGGGATTAATATACAAAATTTAAGATTTGAGATACTAATATGCAATTATGTATGATTTAGGGGATTAGTCTAAAAAACCAAATAGATGTTTGGCACTAGTGTTATTAATTGCATTCAAATATCTTATCGTTTCCCCTGATTTGCACTTATATACCCTCATTTGTTTTTGGCTGCACTTAAATACCCTAAAGTTTTAACTTTGCACTTTAATATCCTAAGTTATCAAAGGTGAGAAGCAGGTTTTAAAAACAATTGATGTTTTCCCAAAAAATCAATTTAAGATCTATTTTTTTTATAATTAAGAGGTTTTTTATTTATTGCAAGAGTAAGATATCATATGTGTCGCATGAAATCTAATTCAAATAATTTGGTTGAATATCTGCATTTCTTGGTGTGAATTTTTTATGCAAATTGCTTTTTAATGAACAACAATTAATGCAAGGATACATGATTTATGTTGAATTGGAGAATTTTTTATCTAGATTGAATTGAATAGTTGTTTGGTGAATTGTCATTTACTTTTTCTTTTTCTTTTTATGATGAAGTTTTTGCTCCCACTAAGTGTTGATGCTCGTGAACAAACAGTCGATGAGGGTTTCCCGCAGTCGGATGCAGCTTCGATCCTGGCGACGGTGGGGAAGAAGGAGAGGATGAATGTTGGGGCCTGTTGAATATCATATCTCCATGATATTATTTTGATGATAACAATTTATACAATGTGTGTTATACAAATGCACTAATTTTTATATGCAGATTTCAATATCAAAATATGAACAAGTGCAAGTTGAGTTCAAGGCATTATGAAGTGAAGAAGATGAAGAACATATGAGATAATGTATTTTACATTTTCTTTACTTAGAATTATTATACAATCCTTGATCACTCACACACACATACACATAAATATTAGAACACACTAACATAGGCTTAGTGTGTTGGTTAACTATAGAAATCTCATATGTTAACCATTAGAGTTATAGTTAATTATTGAGTATTAAAACATTTAATTCACATTTTTTTACTCTTAGCAGTCGACTACTCATGTATATGACTTAAATATAAGTTTTTGTCAATTTACAGTATAGTCGACTACTTAAGCTTATGACAGAAATATAAGTTTCTGTTATTTTACAGAATAGTCGACTAATTGACATTATAGTCGACTACTAAAGCCAAAATTCATTTTTTAAGTTTCTGTCTAATTACAGTATAGTCGACTAATGAACTTTATAGTCGACTACTGAGAAATTTTCTGAATTCACAGAGTCTGTTTAAACTCAGTGTAGTCGACTATTATGTCATGTAGTCGACTACAGATACAGTTTTTCCAGAATTTAAAGTTTGAATTTATGACTGTTTATAGCCGTTTTTAAACATTTTTAAAGTTCAAATAATTGTCTTTTCAATGGCTATAAATAGGTTATTTGTTCAGAAAAAATGTAGAGACTTACATACCCATAAGCTTTAATCTTTGTGCATTTTTTCAAGTGAAAAACATTCAGATTTTGATCGAAAAAGAAAAGTTTCTGAAATTGCCTTTGAACATTATTCAAATACTTATTGTTTAAGTAATTTACAGAAGTTAGAATCATTCCTAAGCCACTACTACACTACACTACAAATCAAGACTTATAGGAATCGAAATTGTTGCTTCAAAAGTTCTCTCGGTTTGCGAGAAGTGTTAATCTCTTGGTTTAGAGATTGGTGTGCAAATTGGCAAGGTGTTTGTCAATTGGTGTTGCAATTTGTAGGGACTTGCAAATTGGTCAGGTTTGCTTTTGATTTTGTAAGTTTATTCAAAATCATAGTGGAAACTCTCAAGCGGGATTTGCTTGGGGACTGGATGTACACCGGATTGGTGGAACCAGTATAAACTTTGTGTTTGTGTTTGTCGGGATTTGCTTGGGGACTGGATGTACACCGGATTGGTGGAACCAGTATAAACTTTGTGTTTGTGTTTGTAAATTTTTGAGATTGCTATTTTTCTTTGCAATTTATAATCCACTTTGCATAAATTTTAAAAGAATACTATTCACTCGCCCTCCTCTAGTGTTCTAGTGTATCTATTTTAGATCCTACATTTGGTATCAGAGAAAGGTGAAAGATGACATCAACAAATACATCACAATTCAAAGAAGGTCATTCTACAAATCGTCCACCAATGTTCGATGGATTGAACTACAACTATTGGAAATGCCGAATGAAGATTTACCTTCAATTAATTGGTTATGAACTTTGAAACGTTGTGGAAACAAAATATGAGAAGCCTACAACTCCTTTTTTAGAATGGACTACATCTTAAAGGAACAATGCAAATTTAGACTCCAAAGTCATGAATGCACTATTCTGTGCACTTGACAAGAATGAGTTCAATAGGGTGTCAACGGCCACATCTGCATATGATATTTGACATACGCTTGAGGTAACTCATGAAGGTACAAATAAAGTTAAAGAATCTAAAATTCCTGTTCTTGTACACAGATTTGAATTATTTAAGATGAAGGAAAATGAGACTATTGGAGAAATGTTCACAAGATTCACCGACATCACAAATTCTCTCATTGGTCTTAGAAAAACATACACACAAGTGGAGATGGTAAGAAAAATACTCTGATCACTTACTCCACAATGGGAAAAGAAAGTTACCGCAATCGAAGAAACCAATGATTTGTCAACTCTTACGGTTGAAAATCTTATCGGAAATCTTATGGTGTATGAAGTTCAAATTGCGGTTGAAAATCTTATCGGAAATCTTATGGTGTATGAAGTTCAAATTGAAGATAGAAAGAATGATGAAGAAACAAAGAACAAGAAAGTACTTGCATTCAAGAAAGAATGATGAAGAAACAAAGAACAAGAAAGTACTTGCATTCAATACTACTTCTGATAAAGAAGATTCTGATGATGATGAAGAAGAAATGAGCATGTTTGCATGAAAATTTCGAAAATTTTATAAAATGAGGTAATTTTAAATCTAAGAGTTCAATTTCAAATAACCCTCTTTGTTTTAAGTGTAATAAACCAGGTCATATGAAGAAAGATTGTCCAATGTTGAAGAATAAGCAAAAATCAAGTTATTTCAATAACTTCAACAACATTCAAAATAACAAGAAAATGAAAGTCTTCAGATTAAGAAATTAAAGAAAAGGAAAGTGCTCACATGTGTTTTATGGCACAAGATGAAGTAAGTGACAATGAAGAACTTTTAGATGCTTTCAATGAATTATATGAAACTTTTGTGAGATTAAAGACTTCACATAATTTTCTTAAAGGTAAAAATAAAAGATTACTTGAAGAAATTTCTGATTTAAATTTCTCTACAATTTCTAATTCTCAAGTAATTGAATTGAAAGAAGAAAATTATTCTTTGCTTAAAGAAAATGAATGTTTATCTAATGAGAATATTTATTTAAAATCAGAATGTAATGATTTAAAAATTCGCATTAATAGTTTAGATAAAGATATTTCTTCTTTTAAATCAAGATATGAAGATATATGTTTAAATGTAAGCAAATTTAATAAAGGAAAAGAAAATCTTAATAATATTCTTTCTTTTCAAAGAGAATCACAAAAGACAAAAGGATTAGGTTTTCAATTTAATAAAAATAAATCAAAAAATAACAATTTTTGTAAAACCTTCTTGTGATTTGTATGAATATAAAAATGAAAATTTTTGTAAA